TATTTCAGTATTTGTTGTTTGTTCTGTTCATTTTGTTTTCCAAAATGGAAACTCGCTTATTAATCACCAATTGGTGATTGCAAAACACGGGCCAGCCCAGGTTCATAATTTAGATTATTATAGGCCTAGTATCATACAACATACCGAAAGGGCCGAAGGGCGCTTAATAAATAACCCAAAAACAAATAGGTTTACCTCAGTGAACCCTCCGTGTCTTCTATGCGTCATGCGGGATATTTACGGACGATAGATAACCGGCCTGATATACAGACACAAATAGATGAAAGTGTGGGGCAAAGTTAGGACGCACCTTATAATCCTCTATAGGTCCGACGGACCGCTTGACAAGCACAGTTCAAGTTCGGGACAGTGCTGATTTTTTTTTTATTCATTATTGGGAGCTACAGCAAACCTCTATGGTTTAATCATTGACCCGGGAAGGCTGATATGAAACGTTGTGCGTCGCACGTAACACGTGCCCTAACAAAGCCAAAAAAAATTGTTAGGCGCCCGTTTCTAAAACGGATGATATTGATACGTGACGGTTCGCTTACACAGTGCTCGCGCCCAATGGTGCGACCGGATCTGTTCAGCGGCGGCCATTTTGAATTAAGCCACACCACAGCAAAAACAATGATCCCCGCCATTCTTGGGTTAATTGTCATGGACCTCAAAGTCTGAAACTTCTGGGAACAAGACGTCTAACCTCCACTTTACAATTCAATGAGTTTGAATGGCTCTAGACGGTTCTTGAACAATGAAAAGTTCGTGAGCAGAATTAAATACTATCTAATTTTACCAAATGTTAAACAGCCGGCCTCAGCTCAAGCGAGCTGAAAACACCAGCTTTTTTACTTTTTGTTTTGAAAGATGGAACGAAATGATACGGTTAATTTATGTACATCCAAGGCACAATGCATGCCTGGTAAAGCAGTAGATTTTTACCCGCCTGCTTACAGCAATATTCGCTCTCTACGAAGATTTAGATAACTTGAATTAACACCTACAATTTGCTGCACACATTATTGTAGCATTTCAAATCCTAAACCAGCCCCAAACTACTATGGAACAATGCTTGTGGACATTTTCACGCCATTAGTGGATTGTGTGTGGGGCATGGTGCAATCTCGTGCCGAAGACATGCTTGTCATTATGCATCATTCGTGTTTCACGGGTTAACGTGAGTCAAGTTCAAATCAATGTTACCCAGGTTAATGATTTACGCAACGATCGTGGACTCTGGCGTACTGTCTACAAATGAATCACCTATCAACAGAACGGTCTTAGGAGACGAGGCACGCATTATTGAACTGAATTGGATAATTCGCCTGAGCATTAACATTTTCCACATGCATGGAAATATTTTTTATTCCTAAGAATTTTGGAATGGACATTACCTGGATCAACCAAAATCCTACAGATGCAATTATTAGCCTACATGTATATTTTGCACTTAACAGGTCCTGAAATCAGGATATCAAGTTGGAACATCCAAGCATCTGAAGGACAGTATCTAGTTCCATTTCTATCAAAATCAAGAAAAATCATGCAAGACCAACGAATTCATTGGGGTTACATTTAGTTCTGATTTAAAAGTTAAATAAATTGGAAATGCCAATTCGATTTCTTAATATTTAATTGTTACTTATTGAGTTGGGAGCAGTATAATATAGCCAGTATGGTTTTTGGTACAGGAGTAGTTGATGGGATAGGACTGATCGATGCAAAATACTGCCTCCACATGAACACTCATCCTCCCTGATCCTACAAAATCTAACAGATTTTGGTAGATTTTGTAGGATTGAGGAAGGTAGAGTCCAGCCACAATTACTTCACATTGGACTGGATGCCACTAGAAACTTGGTAGGTAAAAGAGTGTGCCATTGGGTCCCGCACAGTGGAGGATTTTGTATGATTGAGGAAGGTAGAGTCCAGCCACTATTACTTTACATGGGGCTTGATGCCTTGAAACTTGGTAGGTACAAAGAGCGTGCCATTGGGTTCCTGCACAGTGGAGGATTTTGTAGGATTGAGGAAGGTAGAGTCCAGCCACTATTACTTTACATGGGGCTTGTGCACTTGTCACAAGTGCAAAGTACAAAGAATGTACAATTTGGTTCCTAGACAGTGGTGGATATCGGAGGACTTGGGACATTTCCGGACCCAAACAAATGAACCAAAACTTATTCAAGGTGAACTTGCAGACGAATCTCCCGCCTTGGAAACAAAATTACATCCTCTGATAAAACAAATTGCTCTATAAAAAAAAGAAGCCAAAAGGATTCTTACTTTTAGATTCACTGGTCATTTAAGTGGCAACTTCATTCAGTCTCTAAAAAAGTTTTTTAAACCGCTAGGTCGATTTAATTGCAGATTATGTCAAAATAAGTGTGTGTAGCCTGCTGACCAAACGAGTATTTGGTACTCTCGGAATTTGGTTGGTACAAACATTAGTAACGAAACTTTTCTGTTCAGCGAAAGCCCTGTCGATCCACCCCACCAAGCTCCCGGAGCAACCTTCAAGCAAGCAAGCACCTCGAGAGCTTAGCAAGTTGCCCTACTTCTCTTTCCTAAGTTGAACAACATAAAAAAAAGCACCACACGAAGCGAGCAATTATGAAAGAAAAACACTCGGGTGAAGTTTATCGAGTACACCATGTTTACAGCGAGCGGCTGGCGGGGCGACCGTGACCTATAGACCCACGAGTTCAACCCCAACAGGAACGCTCTTTGCCAAGGTAGGTTGGCATACCGCGGAAGCATGGAATAACTGTTTAATTCTGGGGAAGAAAAAAAGACTAGAAGTGGGCCATCGACAGGCCGTTGACTTTCGCGTTCGACTTCATTGCAAAGGGGGGTCGCCCGTTAGCTTGTAATGCGATGGCTCTCCCGGAAGAAAAAGTAGTGCAATATTTAGCTTGCCGAATGGGGGCGCCATTCATAAAATCTAGAGGATCGGGTGTGTTCCGTAAAGTAATGTCAACAATCTTCAAAAAAGTATCAAACATTACAGTTATTCAGCTTCTTAATCTGCTAGCTTTAAAATGCCAAATATCAACTGATCCTGGTTCTCAATTGGAAAAACATTCAAACCGGAAAAAATATTATTTCAAAATTACAATTGTCAATAACTTTAAAGTAGTTACTCTGTAAAATAAGATGCAAAAAAAAAATGAAAGTACATAAACACAAATTTGGCAGATTATGTATTTAGCACATCTTTTAAAAAGTTATCACCTTGATTCCCTCAAATACAACTATATGCGTATAAAAGTTAAAGAATTATATATTGTTTTATATATATATTAATTACTCAGGACAAATTAAAAGGGAGGCCACACAAATGGCTGAAAATTCTACACTAGGGCCAAAAAAAAAAAAAATATTCGGTCTCTGGTCAGACCAAAGTTCCGGATGACGCGGGCAAGCGTTTTTGTTTTTTTCTTCAAGCTTGGATTGTACAGACAAGGTGGGGTACTATTTTGCTTTTTTGGTGTCCTCATGTACATTGGTGTCCTCCATAATGTGCCTTGGGGCTTTCGATCATTTACCTTGGTGCAATTTCCCATTCCTTGGTGGTCTTTGGTAAAGAAAAATTGAGGTGCGGAAATAGAGGGCGCTGTTGGAGCTACCGCGGAACATTTTGGAAAAAAAAAAGATCGACGCGCATGATTAAAATCGACGCACGCGCTGACCAGAGACCGACTTATTTTTTTTTGGCCTAACAAAGGTCAGCGTCAAAACAAAGGATGTGGCTTTGCGTTTAGTAAACGTTTAGCAAATATTTTCAATACCGTTTAAACTTTTAGCCGTTTCACAAAGGCCGATGCCTGCCCATCTACAGACCAGCATAATTAACATGACAAATCAACAATGACTGACATCATAAATAGCAGGCAGTCATTAAAAAAGTAAAATCTTAACTACGTGCACTCCAAAAGTAATCAAGCACTGCGATGCTTCTAAGGTATTGTATATTAAATAGGTTTGAAAAACATTGTTAATTATTTGTGCTATACATGTATATGTTTCAAAGGAAGATCGCGTAAATGTAGACGTGTGTTTTATAATTCAGGTTTCGTTTGAATGTTTTGGAAGATTTGTAAATGTATTTGGAGGTGTTTTTTGGGTTTTTTTGTTTAAAGGTTTAAAGGTATACGTCACATCCTTGGTAAAAAAAAGGCTCAAACATTACCTCCCCCCCCCCTCCCATTCTAATTTTTTTTTTACAATCTATCACTGTACTTAAAGATCTTTTTGAAGTTCTTTATACCAGCCAATACCTCAAAAATTAAAAAAGAAGAGCTGTTGTAATACATCATGCATAAAAAATAAAGTTTATAGCTTTTGTAACCTCAATCATGTCCAACATTCATAGGATATATCTCCAGGTGACTTTTGGTACTTTTTTACAAAAATCCAAAAATGCGGCTTGAACCTTCATACAATTCCCTCTTCAAAAAAATCCCATTCCTAAAAATAAGAAAAAAAATTTCCCCAAATACAGGGTGAGTAAAAAAACGAAACCCAAATGTTGGGACCATTGTTTTAGTGAAGTTCTGCATGTAGCGCTGTCAAAATCTAGGATATAAAAGCCCAATTCATAACCTTTCTTTTAGAACAAAAATCATTCAAATCACTCATGTACTTTTTAAGTTACAGAATTTTAAACACAACCACCGTTTTAAGGTTCTGTCCACGGATCACAAAAAGTTCAGTGTTCTTTCAGCAAAATGAAAACAAATTACATAGGGATGTGTGTGAATTGTTTTCGTTTTGCTGAAAGAACGCACACCTTTTGTATGATCTGTGGACAGAACTTTAAAACGGTGGTTGTGTTTAAAATTCCGTAACTTGAAAAGTACATAAGTGATTTGAATGATTCTTGTACTAAAAGAAAGCTTACGAATTGGGCTCTCATATCCTAGATTTTGAAAGTGCTGCATGCAGAACTTCGATAAAACAATAGTCCCGACATTTGGGTCTCGGGGGTTTTTTTTACTCACTCTGTATCTTTGCAATATTTTTTGCGTACATGTAATGTAAAAACTGTTCCATAAAATACCCAAGTTTTATCAGTTACTCTAATAATACACTAATATATGTAAAACCAAAATCATTCAAAAAAAAATGTATAACCCTGTCACTGTGCAAATTTCAGACATAATCACTCAATTATTGAAAAGAAAGGGACATCTGAATAATTTCCTATATCCATCCCAAAATTTAAACATGACTAAAAGAAAATCAGAATTGTTTTGTGTTGCTGTGCTCACATTAAAATGTCATTTATTTTCCCAGATACTTCTTGGTTGCCGCGGCGATGGCCTTAGCAGCAGCCTGCAGGTTGTCATCGCCATAGTAACTGAAGGACAATCGCAAACAGTTGGCATAATTGCCACAGGGGGAGGCCCTACAAAAAGACAGGGGAAAAAGACGGGAAAAATTCAAACATAACAAACACAACTTGGTAACGTTTCACCATGAAATTATACAAGCAAATTGCTCAGTGAGAAAACTGGGTGATGGAGGGTTCGAACCTGTGACCTCTTTATTATCGTACCTGGGGTCTCCCTAGGGGTTGTAACTCGGGCCAAGTTTGTGCAAGGACTATAGCTGACCAACGGTTAACCAAAGCCCGACTTATGCTTGCCCGAACTCTGTCTAGTCGACGGTGGTTGACTACACTAGTCAACTATTTGGAACCAACCTACTGGGGCTGGTTGCATCGCTAGTAACCAATAGCCGCGCGCATTCATAACGCTAGCAGAGAGCCAGGATCCAGAAGTTTTGCGATGACATTTTGACCAGCGTTTGACTAGAGACGTTCGCACGTTGCTATTAGTGCGCAGGCGTAAGGTACGTCACAAATCAACCACTAGTCGACTAATGGTCCTTGCTCGAACTTGGCTTCATTCGTCAAAGCCGACAAGTCGTAATCCAGTCTTGTGTGACAAGGTATTCAAATGAGGCGTCGCAAAGGTATTCCTTTGGCATTAAGAGTCACAAAGGCATAGACTCTTTGCACAGGTACACCCTCAACGGTTACAAAGTTGGACCACTCGGAAGGATACTCGAAACCCATTGCCAACGATGCCCGACACTCATGCGAAAATGCTATGGGGTTTGTGCATATAAGAATGAAACGTCGGGTGCCCAGCAGAAGGGCATATGAGCATTCTGACGCAAAAAAAAAAATCACTTTCAAGAACATTGCATTGAAAGGCTCCAATGTTCCCCGACGCGTATTATGAATCCAATGTTCTCCCACAAATTTTTAATTTGTCACAAGTATGAATCATATTTTTTGGAACAAAATGTTTAAATTTCATTACAACAGAGGCAATTTTCTGCATATGCCCTTTTGCTGGTAACATTTTGGTGATAATGTGATTAAGTGGCTGCGGCTACTTCCCATAGACTCATGTGTAATTTGAAGCCGTAGCCAAGCAATTCAGACATAGCCTTAGCCGTTACCTGAATTGTAGTTGACTTGCGATAGACTTGTATTTGGTATATGTGATTGACTGGAGATTACAAATCCAGTCCAACTGGGCTTTTACCAAATGTTAATATATCATGGGGAACACAAAATTGAATGCTTTTTCCACGGCATATCAAAAACCAATTTGATTAAACTGTGGTCTGCAAGTGCTGTGGAAACTTTCACACTGCTCATTGTTAACATCTGACATTTTGCTGTGAAAGTTGAAAAGGGAAAGAAAATAAACGCATACAAGACTTACAAATGTCCCGGCAGGAAAGCCACCTTATGATCCTCCTTGGCGATCTTGAGGACCTCCGCAGCTTTGGCGCCCTCTGGGAGCTCAACCCAGATGAAATAACCACCCTGGAATCAGTCACAGGAACAAGGAGGGCATTAGAATAAGGATAATTCAAATTTTGACACACAAACAAGGGCCCGATTCACGGCCCAGTGCTTCTGACCACCATTCTGCGCTTACAAGGCTGGCGAAGAAATTCAACACTAACCCTGTAACTGCAGAATCTAGAGATATGCAAATGTGCATCAGCCGAAGTTCTTAGCTAACTTGTGAAATGGGCTTAGCGTTGGCAGAGAATTCTCTAGTTAGTGCCTTCTCAGTGGTTGCAAAGGGAGAAATGGGAAGACCACTGGGAAGGACATTTAAGCGCAATTCCAACAGTGCCTGGACTGCCTGGGCCCAATTTCATGGCACTGCTAACCACAGAATTCCGTGCTTACGATCACCATTCTCAGCTAACAGCGCCAGCAGAAAAATTATGTGCTAACCCTGTTAGCACAGAATCCTTAGTTACGGGATGTACGCATGTGCAGAAGCCAAAATTCCTTGTAAACCCGTGAAATACGCTTACCGTTAGCACAGAATTTTCTGCTACGGTAAGCAGGGATTTTTCATTTACAGTAAGCAGAACCATGAAATTGGGCCCTGATTCTCATGCAAAGACTCTACTGCTCTGTGCAGTATCAAAAGCATATTAGTTGTGCATACTTTGTGTCTTGTGTGCACAAGCCTGTAGATTGTTCTTGCATATGTGTGGTGGCTGCAATCTGATTACAGTGCTCGTGACAGCGAATATCAGCACCACAATTCACAAACATTAGTAGATTTGACTAAATCAAAAAGTAAAGTCTGTCACGAGCCAATGTGGCCCATCAGGCCGGCGTTTATCTCCGGTTTCAGTGGCATGAAACGACTGAGAATATTTCTATCCCCCCTGGATGGGATGCTTGTCCATCGCAGGTAATCGTGGCTAATGCCAGTACCCATTTATACACCTGGGTGGAGAGAGGCAAGTGGGGATGAAGATGTGCCTAAGGTCAACCCAATCAGATTTTTGTTTGAGACGGGCAAACTTATGCATTAATTTTCCATGGACTACGTCTGAAATCAAGATGTTCTAGAGTCATTCTGAATGACTGAAACAGTCTTGCTTTCCACAACTCTGGAGTGTAGCTGCTTCTGTTTCAAACACTAAACTTAATTTAGATCATGGAAGTATTTCGGCGTGAGTCTGGAACTCGTCTCAAATGCATGTAAGAGACAATTACCTTCGGTTCTGCAATGTGGACTCCATCTGGCATCTCGGCCTGAAGTGTTTTCCATAATGCTCGAGATGAGGCCTGTAGTTGATTGGAAAATATGAAAAATACAATAAACAAAATATTTTCCTTAGGACCTAGTTAGCAAAAAAAACCCAAAAAAACAAGTTGCTTAGAATATTTCTTGCCGACTAAAATCAACTAGGAATCAGTCATAAGCAACATCCAAGTATTTGGTGGCAATCTTTTTTTATCTGAATATGACTAAATAATGTCTTAAAAAACAATTGGTGGTCTGTAGTGATCTGGGGGGTTTATCCTCACTTAATAATTGTTGTCAAAAAATGATAACTAATTCTCAAATGAACACATGATAATTTCAAATCTTGCCACGCAATTACTCTAAAAAAAGTGCAGGAATAAAAGACACGTTCAATTAACCCTAACTCCCTAGGCATTTTTGCTAGGATGTAACCTCAACCCTGCAAAATCCTCCAACTTTCTCCATGTAAAAATTGCATACAGCCTCAATCCTGCAAAATCCTCCGTTATTTCTTGAGTGTGGTCCTTGGAGGGGTGACCACTGCCTCAATCCTGCAAAATCCTCCGGCAATCTCTGTCAACATGTTGAGGCAGAGCCAGTGACATCCTGGAGCAGTGCGGAGGATTTCAAGTATAATCTAGGCCTAAATTTATGCACGGCTGAGCATAAACAATACCGGTACAAGGTCCAGCCTAAGACCTTGACACAGTGCATCCTCCAACATCAGCCACACATATATAACCTCAATCCTGCAAAATCCCCTTTTTTGCAAAGACGATTTTGGAGGATTTGGGAAGGTTAGGGTTAAAGAAACTGCTTCCAACGAACAGAAGAATTTTTTTCCAAACTGAACTGATATGAGATGTACAATGTGGAAGACTTACCGCGTAGGTCTTTCGTAGGTTGGCCAAGTGCTCCTGAATCAGACCCATCTCCAGTGCAGTACCCATCAGGCCTGAAGCAAAGGTATTGAAGTTGCCTCCGCTCACCATGTAGGCACTGAGAGGATTGCGGACACAAGTCAACATTAAGAAACTGATCAACGTTGGTTTCCTATCAGATCAAAGCACTGTCTGATGAGGGTGCTAAACTGCATTGGGCATACTGGGGCATCCCATAAAATCTGGGGTCCAAAAGTGTGACCTTTTTGTGTCCCAGTTAGACCTGACCTATGTCATTTGGCAGAAAAGTATCATTCACCCTAACTCCCTAGGCCTTTTTGCTAGGATGTAGCCTCAATCCTGCAAAATCCTCCAATTGGCCTCATGGAAAAATAGCATATAGCCTCAATCCTGCAAATTCCTCCATTATTTCTTGAATATGGTCGGTGGAGTGGTGACCACTGCTTGAACCCTGCAAAATCCTGCGGCAGTGACTGTTAATATGTTGAGACTTGGCCAGTGACATCCTGGAGCAGAAGGGAGGATTTCAAGCATAATCCAGGCCTACATTTATGCATGGCTGAGCAAAAACAACACAAGGTCCGGCCCAAGACCTTGACAAAGTGCATCCTACAAAGTTAGTTGCGCAAATTTGCCATATAACCTCAATCCTCCAAATTCCTCCACTTTGGCAAAGAGGATTTTGAAGGATTCAGGGTGATTCAGGGTGACATTTTTTTACTTGTTCAAATCTCTTTGTTCAGCTAAAAGAGTACAAATTTCAATGTTTTCGGCCCTTTATTTTTGTTTGTACTTAGCTTCCACATTTTCAGCCTTCACACAATGTTAGTTTCTATTCCATAAACCACGAATGAATGAATACATAACCACATATATGTCCCACCAACCCACCTTTTTCTCATGATGTCAATGATGTAAGGGGCCGTCTCAAACCATCCCAGTCGCAGGCCTGGCCCCGTAAACTTGGAGAAGGACCCGCAGGAGATGACGTTCCCCTTGTAGTCGGGGTCGTCCTTCTTGTCGTAGGAGAAGAGACGGGGTGCAGCCAGTCCAAGCTCATTGTTATCGGTGGGTGTCCAGGACAGTACGTTGTAGACGTCGTCACAGACGACTACGATGTCGTACTTCCTGGCAAGCTCGATGACACGGCGACATCGCTCTGTTCATTCCAAAACAAAACAAAAATAAAGGTACAAGCTCAGTCTCTATCAAGTTTTTCTACTGCTATAAAAATAGTGCACATGTTAATTTAGGCTTTTGTGTTATTACATTTGTAACAATTTATTCCAATTCTGCCAAAGAATCGTGCTTTCAAACAGAATGGACTCCAAAAAAGGTCTGGAAAGATGCATTTATTTCTGTACTGATTAGGCCAAAAAAAAAATTGTTCTGCTTCCTGTTCCCTACCTAGCCTATTCTGACAGCCCCTACCCTAATTTTTTTAATTGGAAAAATGAGAAAAAAAACACCCAAAACCATCACTTTATACCTTTTACCCTCGACTTCACGCAGACGCCTCCATATGATTGTACACAAAAAAAATTGGCAAAAAAAAAAATCCCTACCTACCTACCCTACTTTCAAATGCCATGTAATGGGAAGTAGAACTATTTTTTGGGGGATTAATGTCTTTCTCTCAGATTTTAAAGTCTGATTTCAGACTCAAGTCTGAAAAAAATCTCATGCCTGATCCGCTCACCTGGTGCATAGCTTATGGTGGTGGGGTTGTGGAAGACAGTAATAGCATAGAACATGGCACGGAACGGCCGGGTCGCGCTCAGCTCCCGTGTATCATTGTCTTTCAATTCCTTGAATTTTTCCTCCAGAATTTCCGTGTTGATGCCATCTTTGTCTAAGGGAACTGGAACCGTTTAAGTGGAAAGAAATAAGATTAGATCACATTTTAAGTTACAAAAAGACCTAAAATGGAGAAGGTTAAATTTTAGCGTCAACTCCAAAAGTAAAACTCAGTGTTGTAGTTGAGGTACTTGTGATGGATCACTAGCCATCACAAGCCATCACAAAACAATCACAAGGCAATCACAAGCCATCACAAGACTACTTGTAGTTACAAGATTGTAGTAATGATGACAGCTGAAGCCGAAAATCAAGTTGCACTGCACCGTCTCGACAGAAGAATGGTTCCCGGTCCCTCAGTATTCTTTGCCAGTTACTCAGGGTGGGAACCAGTCTTGCCACGGTTCCATTCACTCGTGCCCATGTTGGCTATGCATAGTGTGAACATTTGACATGTTGCACATGAGTAAAACAGTACACGGGTAACGTTAGGGTGGACTCGCTAAAGGTAGTGTGAATGTTATTTCTTACTGATCCATGTTTGATCTTACCCGGTTAGATGGCATGACCAGTCCTTCTGATTTGAAAATCACAGGTGTGTGGAAAAAGGCACACTTGGATGTTTCCATTATAAGATGGAATTTTGCGTCGGGGTGATATAAATCAAATCAGGTTTTGCCCTTCACCGACGTGTTTAAAAACGTCGGTGAAGGGCAAAACCTAATTTGATGGATTTTTCTAGGTGTGTGTGTTTTTCTAGGTGTGGGGTTTTCTAGGTGTGTGATCTGTGGTCCAGGGAAATTCAGGCGTGCAATTATTCACACTTCTCTGGAGGCTTTTAGGAGTGGGATGGTGTGGGGGGTGTGATCGCACGCCTCAAATCAGAAGGACTGCATGACAGCGTGAAAGGCGTAATGTCTTCTGCACTCCACAACCCTTCAAGTTTTGCAAAACCACTTTTGCCCATAGAGTTCGTTCCCATGCTTCAAATTCCTTTGAGGTAATCTTTTGTGGAGTATGGCTCACAATAAGCCTTTTCGGAGTTCCAACTGCGCATTCATAACCTGTGACAATGCGCATTGTTTGTCTCAAATGGCCTTTGACATCATCGCGCCACTGACTTTACAAAAAGGCTGTTTGTGCATTGTGGGTACTGTCAAAGGGCATTTGAGACAAACAATGTGCGTTGTCACAGGTTACGAATGCTGGCAGTTGGAACTCCGAAAAGGGTTATTCCAATCCCTGCACACTTCTTTTGTGTGGTCAAGCTCAGGGCAAGCAGACCGATTCGGTCACGTTTCACTCGTCTCAACAATTTTTTTTGTGTGTGCAAAGATGTATACAGCCTTGTAAAGTCTGCTAGACACAGGTATATAAGGCCAAAAAAAAAAAGTCTCCGGTTTCTGGTATGCGCGCGCGTCGCCGTAGCCATGCGCGTCGGCAAAATGAAAAAGGTTTTTTTCCAATGAAAGATGATGTCTCAAAACCGCCAAACTCACTGGTTTGACTGGAATCCTGCTGCTGCACAATTTTAACGTGTTTTTAGATGGGGTTATGATCGAGAATAAGCTTTATGTGGCCTCTCTGGTCTCCCATAATATTTGCACTAAGTTTAGTCGGGCACCATTTGCAGTCATCAGCCGACATTTGAAGCCAACCCAAAAAAAAAAACAGGTAAAAAAAAAAAAAAAAGCTGCGTCGCCGCACCACTTTTGGGGCAAGCTCCATACCAGAAACCGGAGACTTTTTTTTTTGGCCTAATGAAGGTACATGTAGCACTTTAAGGACTAACTGAAATACCATTATGGCATAAGCTTTTGTAGCTACAATGTACAGCTACTTCATCAGATGCAATGACTCTCTGTGTGACAGAGTTATTTTTACATTTACTTTAACACTTCTTGTATCCCTTCAGGTCTTCAGGTCAGGTCTTCAACAAAGATGGTTTTTATATATTACTCTGAATATTGACTTCCAACTTGGAGGGTTTAAGTAAAATATCTGGAATAAGTAAGATTTGAGGCTTTGCATGGTGGAGATACTAAATGATGAAAGGTTTGCGGAAACAACATGTGCAAATAATTTCTCAACTAAGAGAATGGTTTTGAAAAGAACCAGAGGTATAAACTCGACGTTCTGGTCAGTATACTCTGACCGGACCGAAGACGGTCAGAGCATACTGACCGGAACGTCGAGTTTATACCTCTGGTTCTTTTCAGAACCATTCTCTTAGTTGAGAAATTATTCGCACATGGTGTCTCCGCAAACCTTTCATCATTTAATATCTGGACTAGCATACCCGCCACACTTTTGATGCCGAAATCCTTGAATGCGTTCAGGTTGATGAAGTACGTCGGGTCTTCAACGAAGACGGTGTCTCCAGCGTTGAAGAAGTATGACAGGAGGAATGACATAGCCTGTGTGGCACCGCCGCTCAGCATGAGATCTTGGCTGGAAATGAGGGACAGGACGGAACAAAGTTGGACAATTTGCGAGAATTCTCAAAGTTCCTTAGGCCAAAACCAGGGCTGTAATTTTAGTCAAAGTCTGATCCTTGAGTCATGTACATGGAGGTTGAGTACGAGTCTCCAGTCAACAGAGACGAAACTGGCATTTTTTGAAAATAAATCTGAAAATAGGCTGTTGCCTGGAGGCCTTTTGGCCTTGGAAAATATGATATTACTGATGTTTTATAAAGTTCCACACATGGTGAGGCAAAGATATCTTAGCGATCGGCGAAATCTGGGACATTTTTTTACCAGTAAAGGTTTTGTACCATAATATTTGTGCAACCAAATGCTTCAATCTTCATTAAATAGCCAATTCAATTTCAAGTCAACAAACAATTAAAAAAAAGATTAACCAGCTGTTGTGACAGTTTGCAATAAGCCATTTTAAATTTGCATAACATCTGCTACACTGACTGGCACGTCATAATGCTTGGCACATTTTAACTTTGAATTCTCCAGACCAAAGACACTGTTGCTATATCACGAGATTCCGGGGCAAGCCTTATGCTAGCAACCCTCAGCTCCGGAATGGTCTGGTGTCTTTGTGCCATTCTCACCCATTGTGAGCAATGTATTGATGCTGAGCGTCTCTTGCGTAACTATGCAAGAGCTTGCCCCGAATCATGTGATATAGCAACAGTGTCTTTGGTCTGGAGAAATCGAAGTTAAAACATGCCAAGGATTATGAGCAAGTCAGTGTACCCGATGTTATTCAAATTTAACTCGCATAGGGTACAGGTTATTCGCAAATGGCACATTGATAATTTGGAATAAACTCAGGCTTTGTTACAAGAACTGCGGCGTTTCACAATCCAATAACTCAGAAACAGTTAAGTCCAGTAATTTATTTTCTAATTAAAGTAGGGATTTTCCAAATAATTGTTTTTGTAGTTAGGTTTCCAGATAAAAGCAGCTGTTAGAGTATACCACAGTGTGGTTTTTTTTTAACAAAAGTCAAATTGAAACAATTAGAATTATTACAATTGCACCATGTGGTTAATTTGATGATTTGTAATCAAAAGTTGTATTCCCGCTAAGTGATGCCCGTTTGTTATTTCCCAGATTTGCAGCATTGCTTATGTCAAGACAAGATAAGTTTGCAGTAGCACCGTGTGAATAAATCTCTTTTGTGAGTATGTGTGGTTCTGAAAAGAACCGGAGGGACTCAACATTTCGAACAGTATGCTCTGCCCGTCTTCAGGAGAATGAGGGATTTCAACGAAGATGTGATGTTATAAGTATGGGTGCGGTGAGGCGTGAGAAGGACGCAAACTGGTGAAGCTTGAAACCGGTGAAGCTGAGAAGGATGCAAGTCGACTGAGGGATGTTGGGTGCTTATGTTGCTAGCATCGTGTTTCTTGGGCACGATCCTTGGAATACATGGCATATACGGTGGAACGCCGCTATAACGAACATCCTGGGATCCACAGAAATTGTTCGTAATATCGATCGTTCGGTACAGCGATGTTCACACATTAAATTAAATAATGGCGCCCTCTTTTGATCATTGTTATTGTGTAGTTGCATACAAACCATGCGCGGCGTCGCCAAACATGTCCATTAATATTTTCAATTCCGTAGCAGAACTTCACCAAGTACGCCCTGGTAGTTACTGAAAGACGACTTCGAACACGTGCGACTATTGAATCATGTAATTACACACTTTTTGAGCTTACGTGGGTGGCTTTTTCCTACTATTCCTTGGGGAAATAATAGCCATTTGTCGCTCTTCTGTTGACTTTTCCCAACAACAATGTACACAAAAATTGGGAGCCAAGGCTGATGTTCGGTATAGCCAAATGTTTGGTATAGCGGTGTTCGGTATAGCGACGTTCCACTGTACATCTTTTTAACCGTTTATGGCTTCTGACTAGCGCCCCTTGAACAACGCTACTGACAAACTGGTGGCCATGGTGGCTTGGACACTTTTGACAAGGGACTGGAACTGGCTGCATTAACGCTGCTTCATACTCGGCGCAAAAGCAAATATGAACGTGAATCGCTGCAAATTTGTACTACCTAAGGTTGAACACATCTCAACTCGGGCAAATTTCACGGCGAAGATTTCACGATGTCAAATTCGCTTAAAATTCACACTCATGTCAAGTATGAGTTGGCCTTTATAAGGGGAACAAAATCTAGACCTGGTCATTGACCAAGACTACTCACGCGTCAACAGGACTGCCGTAGCCCTGGGTGAGGAACTTAGCGAGTTCCAAACGGCAGAGTGGATCTCCCCAGGTGTTACCGTACTGCAAGAGATCACCATCGCCTGCTGCTTCTTCAGCCTAGGAATCAACGGGGGAAAATGATAACTATCTTCAATCTTCATTGATTTAAAAATGAAAGAAAAAGACTTGCTTCTATGGGGTGCCCTATAGGGGACATTAGGCAAGGGTGAACTTATTGGGATGGTTGGGGTGCCGCCTGGGAAGAAAATCCCACTTACCTGAAAAAACAAAAACCATTGAATAAAAACACAAATCTAGACACCTTGGCTGATAAGTTCTTATATTCTCCATAGAAGTACATGTTTATAGAAAAAGACTTTATTGTTGCTAATGGCAGATGCTAATTTTCATATTATGCATAAACTGTTTACATTATCATCGCATGAATGGCTTCAACAAATTTCTTGATCCTAAAAGCATGGGTTTAGATACCTTGTTTTATACAATTGGACTTGTATATATCTCCATATAAGTTACATTTCCGACAATGGCAGATGTTTATTTGCACATCATGCATAAAATACACACAATATCAATAATCATTGTAAAATGGCTGTAATGAATTCATTGACCCTCAAACATGAGTTTAGACACCTCGTTGGAATCTGCTTTAGGTTAGAAAGGCCATTTTTAATAAAAATTGTATGATAAGACCCCCCCCCAAAAAAAGTCTCCGGTTTCTGGTACGCGGCTTTTTTTTTTTTAACCTGTTTTTTTTGCTTCAAATGTCGGCTGATGACTGCAAATGGTGCCCGACTAAACTTAGTGCAAATATTATGGGAGACCAGAGAGGCCACATAAAGCTTATTCTCGATCATAACCCCATCTAAAAACACGTTAAAATTGTGCAGCAGCAGGATTCCAGTCAAACCAATGAGTTTGGCGGTTTTGAGACATCATCTTTCATGGAAAAAAAAACTTTTTCATTTTGCCGACGCGCATGGCTACGGTGACGCGCCCGCATACCAGAAATCGGAGACTTTTTTGGGGGGGGGGGCCTAAAAGAATGATAAAAAACACCCTTGACACTAAATTACTTGAACAAAACATAAACATGATGATGAAAGTCTTAAGAGGGGCCCTAACTACACCCTCGCCTTTGGCTCTACTCTGATTTTGGCGTTTTTTCTTTTTAGTTCTTTTTCAAGACGAAACCATGGAGGAAGGAACACATTACCATTCGGAAAAATATTTTCATATACGTACGCCACTAGTTTTTCCCTGCAATTACTTAAAAAGCCATCAGAAAGTGGTAAGGCCAAAAAAATAAAAATATTCGGTCTCTGGTCAGACCAAAGTTCCGGAATTGATGCGGCGACGCGGCTTTTTTCTTTTTTTTTCTTCAAGCTTGGATTGTACAGACAAGGTGGGGTACTATTTTGCTTTTTTGGTGTCCTCATGTACATTGGTGTCCTCCATAATTTGCCTTGGTGCTCTCGATCATTTGCCTTGGTGCAATTTCCCATTCCTTGTTGCTCTTTGGTAAAAAAAATTGAGGAGATGCGGCAATAGAGGGCGCTGTTGGAGCTACCGCGGAACATTTTGGGAAAAAAAAAGATTGACACGCATGATTAAAATCGACGCGCGCGCTGACCAGAGACCAACTTATTTTTTTTTTTGGCCTAACATGTCCTGACCTTGGCTAAGTAAAATAAAAAGTTGAAGCAATTAGTCAGTGACTAGTGAGTACATTGGTATTGAGAAAACACTTAGAATTTGTCAGACCGGTCTCATAGGGTTTGTACACAGGGCGACAAGTGACGTCCGTATGGAATTAGTAGTTTTAGTACCATTCTCTTATGAGCAGCCTTGGAGAACAACTGGGCCACCCGCCTCAGCCTGTCGGGCCCGGGACCGCCCACGGTGAGCTGCTGATTGAGCCCGCTGAACAAACCCCGCGACTTGAAATCGTTCTCGGCGAACGAACCCGTTTCCTGGATTTCCGTTCTCCTCTTCTTGATCGGAACGCACTCTGCCATGGCTGAACTGGCTGTGCTTAGGCTAAACGAGGGTGGGAGGTGTGTGGTTGGTGAAGGAAGTCGAAAAATGGGCGTCGGATGGACTAAAAATTGTTGGTTTTGAGGATTAAAAATCGTCCGTGTGCGATTTAATATGCACGTACCCAATCGGACGGAACGAGCCATATTTTAGATATAGATCAGGATTGTCACGTGGACTATTTCCTTGTATAGCGCCCTCTTGCGATGTCTATACGTATAAAATTCACAAGCGAAGGGATTATTTCGCTCGTACCCCCGTCCCCGCTTTCGCTCGTACCCCCCGCCCTGCAAACAGGCAGGGCGGGGACGGGGGTACGAGCGAAAGGGAATATAACAAGCAAATAAGACAAGAACATAAGAAAATGTTTTGCTTATTTAGCTTTGCAAATAGGTTAACACAAATAGCTCCACAACACAAAGTGTGTTAAGCGACTCGACCGCAGCGGTAGGGAAAATTGAAAAAAAAAAAAAAGTTTTATCATTCCTACGTTCATGTTTTAATTAAGTGCAAGTAAAAACCAGCCGAAGTTTTGACTGTATCTTCAATCATTGTGTGTTAACAAAGTCAAAATTATATATTCTTTCCAAGCCAGTAAACTGAGGTGCAATTAAAATGAATTAGGCCCTAATTGCTTTTCAATCATCATGAAGTTTAACATATTACAGACCCAAAAGAAATAAAAGGGGAAAAAAAGAACAAGGAAACATTTGCAAAAGATGATTCGATTCGTCATTTTAAACGGTTTCCTTTATGCACGATTGTCTCAAAAAATAAAAAACTCTGACTGGTCAGTATGGGGCTCGAACCCATGACCCTCGCGTTATTAGCACGATGCTCTGCCGACTGAGCTAACCGACCGGCTGATTCATGGAGAAATTCTATAACATTTATATCTTTAATAAGTAATCATAACGTGATGGTTCTTTATTTCATTTATTTAACGTACATGCATAAAAATGTATTAGTACAGCGAATAATTGTAAAGCTTGAGGATGTATCTGTCTTCAAAAATAGTGGAAAATAGAATGCAGGATGGTGATTTACTGATGGAGGAAAAAAATAGTCTGGTTCCCAGACCGGACAATTATTCCCGATGCGCGCTCACGTCTAAATTGTAGTCAGAATCTTTTGGTCTGGCAACCAGACTAGGAAAAAATATAAGCACACACGCAGCGTGGGCGCAATTTCGCCGTTGGTTTTGTCAGCGAAATTTCCAATCTTGCCATAATATTATCTTCCTTACTTGATATATGTATCAATATCAAAATGTGACCAAAAAGCATTGTCCTTATGTGAAAACTAAAAAAACCCAGAATGGCTTTTAATTCGTCCCCTCAGTTTCGAATTAAAGAAAACATGGGAATCCTCCAATCTCCACTATTAGTCAGGTGGCTAAGATCTAATTTTCGTCAAGATCGTGACCGCCTGGTCCAAAGCACCAAACTTGGCAGATAGATTCTTATAGACCTAGAGAAGATATTTAGAAGGGGTGACACCCGAAATTCTTTTGGGAAGGGTGCCTAATTTGCATAAATCGTTAATCCCTTCCGTGTAATATATTTATTCCCATATTTTGGTATATTTTTATATTTTTATTTTTTTGAAAAGTGTATTTTGGGGATTTTACTTACATATCTTTACTTAAATAACATTTTCCAAAGCATATAAGTGACTGAATAATTATGAGGACCTAGTAACGATCCAAAATGGCTACTTTTATGCCCTAAATTGCGCGCATTTACCTTGTCCCCAGATATCATCAATTAGTCTTGCCAAACATCAGCATTGATGAACTTTAAATTCACCACGTAGCTTACTGGTACAGTTATCCTATTGAAACCTTATGCAAAATCATGTGAACAATGAGAACATTGTGATATTTAGCCCAGAAAACAAAAACTGGGGGAAAAAACGAGGTGTCCATAAATTGGGCTAACAAGTAAGGTGAAGGGTTGCCTAACATGGAAGACTGGAACAAGTTCAAGGAAATTCCCAAAATTATTGTAGAGAAAACGGTTTGGAGTAGACAAAATTATTGTAAACAACAATAATCTCTTATTTGGGGGGATTTTGTTGAACTTGTTCAAGTCCCCACGTTACCCTTCCCGTAGTAGCCCAATTTACGGACACCACCTTTTCTCCCCTTTTTTGGTCTTTTGGGCCAAACATCAAGATGATATCAATTTTCACATGATTTCCCACTTATTTTTGTTAGGTTAACTATGTCAGTCAGTACCTTTGTGAATTTGAAGCTCATCAATACCCACGTTTGGCGAGACAAGTTGATGATATCTGAGGAAAAGGTAAATGCGCGTAACTTTAGGGTAAAATAGTAGCAATTTTGGTGATTTACTATGTCCTCGTAATTATTCAGTCACTAACATGCTTTAGAAAATGTTATTGAAGTAAGAATATGCAAGTAGGATCACCAAAATACACTTTTCAAAAAAATAAAAAATAAAAATATACCCAAATATGGGAAAAAATATATTACACGGCAGGGATTAACGATTTATGCAAATTAGGCACCCTTCCTAAAAGAATTTCAGGTGTCACCCCTTCTAAATATCTTCTCTAGGTCTATAAGAATCTATCTGCCAAGTTTGGTGCTTTGGACCAGTCGGTCACGATTCCGACCATATGCCACCTGACTATATGCTCCCATCCATATGCTATTTTTTTTTGGGGGGGGGGGGAGTGCCCCCCCCCCCAAAAGGCTAAATTCTGATTTTGAGTATGGCTCGTCCGTTTGTTTCTGTTTTCTGTTCACCTCGTCTGTGATTCTTTTCTCCATTGGAACCGTCCTAGTTTCAGCATCGGTTTGGGGAAAAAAGTATAACGTAAAATTTCAATGGAGGTCGAAGAAAAAAACCCCAAAAAATGTTCATGTCACAAAAATAGGTAATGTGAATTTGAAAAACAAAAATAATTGTCGACACCGCTTCGGGAGGAGAGAAAAAGAAATTTCGACTGGTCAGTATGGGGCTCGAACCCATGACCCTCGCGTTATTAGCACGATGCTCTGCCGACTGAGCTAACCGACCTCACGTTCACATTGCGAAAATGCAAAATATATAATGCATTGAACGGAACGAGCTCGTGCGTCACACGACTTTGTTTAGACTTGTTTCAAGTCACTTTCTTAACCGTAAAGATTTGGTTCTCTACCTATTACCGCATGAGGGCGCTATCACTAGTAACTGGAATGCTACTTTTGATCGTGTGCTGATGACAGAGACCGCTAGAAAAGATAGGTCTCATTAAAAAAGAAAAACTAACAAACTAACAAACAAACAAACAAACAAACAAACACCCAACAAACAATCAAACAAAATATATAATATATATAAATATCAATTAAATAAAAAAGTAAAAATAATATTTGAACAAAACGAACTTTAGATAAAAGAAATAAAGCGATTATAATCATAAAGTAAAAGGAATAACTTGAATCCAACAAATAATGGTAAACTTACGATCTACGCGCACATTTAGAGGGTTAGTAAGAAGAATAATTACAAATTTGTGAGTAAACATACCCTAAATGCAAACGGTCTCAGAGCTGCCAGTCATCCTCGTATTCATAGTGTGGACCAGAACGCTCCAATGCCCCCGGCTCTGGCTGCAGCACACGCGGCGCTGCAACAAATCATTAATTTTGTCCTCGAAATCACACTTACTCGATAAATATATCAATATAACAACAAATAATGCCAAAAGGCATTTTCCTCAGGTGAAAACTAAAAAAGTAAATTTGTGGAGGATGGCTTTTATTTAAATTCGTCCCATCCCCATTTGGCACCATTATATTCCCCTCCCCAAAAAACAATAGCCATAATTCTGGTTTGGAGTATTTTGTCTAGCTGTTTGTTTCTTTGCCTGTCGACTTGTGGGATTCTTTTGTCTATTGTAACTCCTGCAGCGACTTACTTGTGGGGTGCTGTTGTCCAATGGTTACGGTGTTCGACTTGTGTGCCGTGGTACATGGGTTCGAATCCCGACCGTGGGAACATGGTGCTTCACGGTGCTCTTGAGCAAGGCACTTTACCATTATTGCTTCGTCCTTCGGACGTAAAGCCGTAGGTCCCGTGTGGTGTAAAGCACGTTAAAGAACCCAATAATATCGCTAATAGAGAAGGGGTTTGCCCCGGTGTTTCTGGCAGTGGCAATAATGCACCGCAGCACCTTGTAAACCCTTAAAGGTGCTACATAATGGGTCTCATATTTCTCATAAACTTTATTTACCTTTCTTTAATAATTGACATAATTTCCTTATACGTGCACTATATAAAACTCCGGTATTATTATTATTCATTATTTACTTAGGATGTACGCGTATGCCTACATCTTTTTTAGGACTTTTATAGTAACAATTTTGCTGGGAAAAAGAGGATAAACTTAAAGGGAATATACATCATTTGCTTTTGCTGTAATTTTCAGAAATGGGTGGAATTGGGGGGTCGGAAATATAAAGCAAATATAGTTACACTAACTTTTTGGAGGTTTTGGGTTCGAAAATGCTATAAAAACCAAGAAAAACGATCATTTTCCTGTAGTCTGGTTCCCTGACTCCATATAAGAAGAAACAGAGCAGTTTACATACATTGGGGGAATTGTAAGGTCAGGGAACCAGTCTAGCTGGCTCGTACCCGTTTATAGGTTTGTAATCGATTGCAAACAAGTGCAATGGTCAATTGGGGCCAGTATTTGATAAAAAGCCAGTTGTTTCCAACGCTGATCGGCCGATCAGCGTTGGAAATTGATACAAAAATACCACTTTTCTTGAAAATGACAGTATACCAAGTGCCATAATTTTACAGGATGCTTTAGACTGTCATTTACCAACATCCTGTTAAGGTATTTCGCAAAAACTTGATAGTTTTATTTTTCGTTGTTTGCAAATGTTGTATATTCCCTTTAAATTGGAGTTGGAAGAAAAACACAAAATGTCACAAAATAGATAACGTGAATTTGAAAAAGAAAAATATACCTCGGACAGAAAAAAAGAAAATGAGCATTGGTCGGTATAAGACTCGAACTGACGACCCTCGGGTTATTAGCGCGATGCTCTACCTACTGAGCTAACCGTCCACACAAGCTGTCAAGTAAAGACCTTTCTAATTTTATAGGGCCAAGTTCGCGCAAGGACTATAGTTGACCAATGGTTAACTAAACGTTTGCCCGAACTCTGTCTAGTCGACGGTGGTTGACTACGCTAGTCGACTATTTGGAACCAGCCTACTGGGGTTGGTTGCTTCGCTGGTAACCAATAGCCGCGCGCATTCATAACGATAGCAGAGAGCCAGGATCCAGAAGTTTGCGATGACATTTTGACCAGCGTTTGACTAGAGACGTTCGCACGTTGCTATCAGTGCGCAGGCGTAAGGTACGTCACAAATCAACCACTAGTCGACTAATGGTCCTTGCCCCAACTTGGCCATATTTTTCCAGAATAGTCATCATAACGCCGTCCATAGGTAGGAAAAGGGCATGTTTGGGAATTACTTTGTAGCTTCGTACACAATTTTGTATTTCCAACAATCACATAATATTTTCGTAATTTTAAATAACTAGTCTTCATTTTTGCAGTGCTGGACCTTCCATAGTTTGGCAACCCGTGGTTGGCAAAATGTGCATGAATAATTTATGTATTTTAAGCATAATATGCAAATTAGTACCCGCTATTATCTGAAATGTAATATCTTTATCCCATCTCCACAGAACTTTGTCCAATTGTATATAAAACGAGGTATCTAAACCCATGGATCAACACATTCATTGAAGCCATGCATAATGTTCAAATTAGCATCTGTCATTAAAAATATAACTTATCTAAATTTCCTCATGAATTTACTCAATACTATCAAATGAGTGCCGAACAAGACCCATATTTGCAGGGTCACTTATTAAATTGAAGCTACCTACATGTACATACTGAAAAAAAGTAATATATTTAATGCAAAAATACGCAGATAAGCTGTATCATTTTCTTTTTAAACACAGTGTTTCCTAAATATCTTGATCTTTTGTTAGGAGACACACAATTAGCCTACACCACAAAATGCGTGTTAATGAAACTGACAGACATTTATTAAGTTTGGCCAAAATCAAATTTATTTTCTTCAATCTTCATTTATTTCAAAAAGAAAAGAAAAAGACGTGCTTCTATGGGGTCCCCTACGGGGACATTAGGCAAGGGTGAACCTATTGGGATGGTTGGTGTTGTCTAACAAACAACCAAACACCCCAACAAAGGAAAGACAAACAAACAAACAAACAAAAACGAAAGTGAAGTGGAAGTCTTCACCTGATACGTTTAATGCTGATTTTATTTTTATTTTCTCGTTTTTAATAACTTATAAATTGGTCACTCTACACTATTGTATGCTCCCAAGCTTATTTTATAAATAAAGCACACCGGAACAAATTAATAAACAAATAATTAAATAAATAAATAAATACAACATCATTCCTGGATTGTCTCACGCAATTCGTGGTAAAGTGAAATAATCGCACACTGTGCATTATTGGGAATATCGGAATAAAATGGTCTGACTTTAGCAGATGGAATGTTCAACAATCACATCAATACATATAAATATTAATTAAATAAATAGGTAAAAATAATATTTTAACAAGACGAACTCAAAGCGATTATAATCATAAAAGCAACAAGAATAATTTCAACAAATAATGGCATAAACTCACGATCTACGCGCGCATTTTGAGGCTCAGTAAGTTGCGCATGGTTCGGCTTTTGAATAAATAAATTAATTAAATATATTTACAAATGGCGTAGAACTCCTCCACCCATACAAATTATTATTCTGGCGGAAAGAAATTGGTTAACTAAAAGATAAGGTATGGAAGTCCAGCCACAAAATCTCTCAGATGAAATAAATGGGCAAATTAAACAAAAAGACAGAAATTAGATTAAAAGCGGACAATTACAAAAATTTATATAAAAATAAAATTGGAAAATAAAGTTTAAAAATTGCCAAATGAATGATGACACGGGTAAGAGTCAATACTATTCACAAAAAAAGCATACATTGCGCTTGATGTTTCACCCACTAAGTGGTAATCCAATGTATGTTTTTGCCCATTAATATGTCACGCATTAATGAGAACCTTTGTCATGGCCCATTTTTCATTGAGCGTCTTTGAAGAAAATTTTACCTGTAGCAACTTTACGATCAGAAGTTTATGTGCAAAAGAAATAATCATGTGTTTGGGCACGAGTCGGCCATATTAAATTCAAAGCGAGGTAAACTCTTCTTTTTTGGAACTTTCGAGCAGAAATGAAAGCAATGAAACAATTTTTAATACCAGTCTGCTCTGATGAATAATTTGAAATTTGTGAGGAAACAAAAGTACCCTCATGTTTGAAGCCACACTTCAAAAAAATTGAAAGTGGGGCCTGGCAAGCAAATCAAGCATAAAATAGTCTGGCACCAGCCCATTCCAGTGTTTGCAATTTATAAAATAGAATCTGAGAATTCGGTCGAACATGGCTTTCTCGTGCAAAGGACCCATTATTATTACCCTCCAGACTTTCCTCCCATTCTTAAAAAAAATGATTGGTTCTCATTTATTTGCCAATGCTCATCAAATTCTCGCGAGATTTCATTGTCGATGAATGGTTGTTAGTTCTGCGGGATCTTGGAGGCGGTGTGGTCCGGGTGATGGAACGTGAGCGGCTGCTGGGTCTGCTGACCGACGGGCGGGACAGCGCCCGCTGGCGGGCGGTGGCGGGCGCTCTTTTGGTGAGCACGGAGGCCGGCCAGCTGTGAGTAGGCGCTGTGGCACACGTTGCATCTGTAGGGCTTCTCGCCTATTTGACGTGAAAACAGACGTCAACAACAGCAGGTAAATACACTGCAATAACTTTGTTTTTCGCCGTCTAATATAAAAATACCTGTGTTCCTTTTTTATGGATTCAAGCCCAATTTATGCGAAGATATCGATCGATGATTTTGACAGCGTTCACCGTCCAATTTCGGCAGAACACGGCAACCTCGGTTTCCAATTTTGTTCACGAAAGTGGGCAAAAAAGGAGACATTTTCTTGGTGTTATCAGAGATGTAGAAAATCGGGGGTTTATGTTTTCATTCGTTCCAACACAATACATTGTTGGTAAATTGTAAACACGGTCGGCAAGAAATGCCAAAACACTATATTGCTGTAAGCTTTTAATTGAGAACACCGTTTCAAATGGTAATAAAGTTTAATTTTCGATGAACTGACCCTTACATCGACATTGTTTGACCGACCAATTCATATTCCAAAATTTTCGACTGATCTGAACGAAAATTCAATCAACAACAGAGCAAATTGTTGACCGACCGTCCACCACCTTTATACGTCCGATCGACGGTTCAACTGACGACAGAAAGTCAATGACCCTAAAGTTACAAAATAGACCGGCTTGACAAAAAGGAACCGGCAAGGCAATATGCAGCGTCCGGATAATTCAATCAAACTGGCCGGTATTAATAGTATTATTTTTTTGTGGATCACCACATTTCCATTTGTGTATCAGCCAAATTCCAATTGTACCTGTGTGGAGACGCACGTGGTTTCGCAGCGTGGATGACTGGCTGAAACGTCGGTGGCAAAACTTGCAGACGAAGGGCTTGTCCAGGGTGTGAATGCGCATGTGCGAGCGCAGGTTGCTGCGGGAGTTGAAACCCCGACGACACACCACGCAATGCAGGCGGCCGGCAGAGTTGGACGGGTGCTCGGTGCTGGCCAGGTCGTCTTTCATGGTACGATAGAAAGAAAAATGGAGTATTAACCTCGGTTCTTATACTCGTGCTCTTCAGTAAAAATCCAGTTAAATTTTCTCCTTACGATTTTTCAAATAAATGTTTAACTTTTGACGAAACCTTCCCTAAAATAGGCTTTCATTTTTGGATGTTTTTCCGCCTCTAACTCACAAAAAGATCAACCGAAATTATTGTAGGGCAGCAAATTATTCGAAATTTTATTTCATAACTTAGCCCTATTTACTATAAACTTGGAGGATTTTTTTTCATTCTATGTCTCATTCAAAAGTGAATAACTTTGGAATAGAATAACACCAATTTAAGAATAAAATCTGTTTTTGTAGGGAAACTTGAAATAGCACATTACTTCATCCACGAAAAAAAGTTCAGTAAGGAAAAATAACTGTCTCGAATCGTTAATAACTCGCTCAATTTTCTAAGGTCTAACTTACCGGAGCCAGCGATCTTGACGCTACTGTTGCTGCCCTTGTGTTCCGGAGACGTAAGGCCGATGGGAATGCTGTTCATAAAGAGATCGTAGGCCGCACCGTAGTACACGAAGAGCTCTTGATCGGGTGGGATCGTCTGTAAAGAGCAGAGAAAATGAAGCGTTGAATGAAGAGGTTGGTTGGTATCAAAAACGGCAAACGTACTGGGCGTGGCCACGGGTTCATTGGAATGCCATTGTGAAATTTTGCGACGTCATGGTTCAAGTGCTTTGAATTTTAACGCTAACGTTTTGAGACGTCCATTCGGTTTGCATCCGCATTCAGCATGCATTATGAACCGAACGTCTTTAAATTTGGGCGTAGTTCTGTCATCAATTTTGTAATTTTTCGGAATTTTCGAAAACAAGTTGGTAACATTTTAGAAAATATACAAAACTGCTGAATGATAAAGTCAATCCTAAGTGTAATTTAAGCGCGCCAAAAAAAAATCGTTTAATGGTTTCTGCGGTTGTTATTTTGTCGCGACAAAATTCTGGATATCGGCACTGAGGCCAAAAAAAAAGTCTCCGGTTTCTGGTATGCGCGCGCGTCGCCGTAGCCATGCGCGTCGGCAAAATGAAAAAGTTTTTTTTTCAGTAAAAGATGATGTCTCAAAACCGCCAAACTCACTGGTTTGACTGGAATTCTGCTGCAGCACAGTTTAAACGTGTTTTTAGATGGGGGTATGATCGAGAATAAGCTTTATGTGGACTCTCTGGACTCCCGTACATTTTGCACTAAGTTTAGTCGGGCACCATTTGCAGTCATCAGCCGACATGTGAAGCAAAAAAGTCAGGTAAAAAAAAAAAAAATCCGCGTCGCCGCACCACTTTTTGGGCAAGCTCCATACCAGAAACCGGAGACTTTTTTTTTTTGGCCTAAAAGATTTAATGACAGATTGTCAACAATCCAGAGAAAAAGAAAATTGAAACAATATCTGATACAAATGTAGGATTGCCCCATAATTTCGTCTGACCTTAACGGCTCGATAGTAGATATCAGAGCCGGTCTGGAAGACTTCAAGATTCTGTTCCTGGTCGTTGCGGGCGCAATTGACGTAACACATCCAGGTCTGGAGGGTCTCGTCCGAGGCATCTACGAAGTGACTGACCCGACCCTGGTCATCAAACACCTGCGAGGTCAAAGGCGAAAGGTCAAACATAAAGACAAACAATCACAACCTCGTTCCCCATGGGTACGATCTTGCTGCGCCATGTTGTTTCCCATCATGCCTTGCGCGATGGAACGCGCACGCGCCCATGGAGTCGAGGCTGAAACCATTGATCTCCATATACACAGACTGGATAGGACATCGCGCCGTGTTTGTGCACGAATGCGCGGCCGAACAATGGCGGCGCGTTTACTGTCAGACGGGTAAACGCGCATCGTGCTTTCACTTTATTTACTTTGGAAAATGGATTGTTTAGTGAAATTGTTCTTACAGGAGGGAGTTCAAGCGCTCCTCCAAAACAATCTTAAAAAAAAACCCTGAACGATGAAGAGTTACCCTCCAAACAGCTTTTCCACACTTTCTTGATATACACTTTCTTATTATGCATTTTCGAAATTCAAGAACCCAGTTTCCTTTTCCCTTATTTTTTTTTAAATCCCTTCCCCTCCCAAAAATGATTGTAAGTAAATTGCCATTTCATTTTTGGCACATTGGTCATTAGAGCACACTGAATTACTCCATCAACGAAATGAATAATTGTATTAATAATATGCTGAAATGACATCATATTTTTTAACTGAACACTCACACGAGAAATTGTATGGAGATTCATTCAAATGATTGATATATTTATTAAAAAACGTGAACATCAACCAATTACAATCTAAAAGGTAACAAAAACCTTAATTTTACAAAGTAATCAGTAAAAACTTCTTCCCGTCCCTAGATTGATCAGGGAATGACATCGTTTACCTCTTTGTAATATTGTGTGAAAGGAGATGAATCACAAACCAAAATAGTTCTATACTAATTTTGTCAAAGAATAATTCAAGCTACGCACGGTCTTGCAATTAAATGTGTAGCTATACTTCTGAAAATAAATATAATTACTTGTAAGTGTAATGGGAATCGTTTTTGAGCGAATTTGACGGTGCTTATGGCTATAGCTAGTAATCTTATGTAACGGCGTACACAACATAATTTCAAACCGTAAAAGTACTCATTGCTTTCTTCACCATACAAACTGTCAATAATGTGACGGTCATCTTGGGAGCTTATAAAAATACTTGCGTTGAACTCCACAACTTCTTTCCAAAACCAAAAGCAATCAATGTTAACAGTTCCACATCGTAAAAATTGATTAAGTCAAACGCTCAGATGCTTATCACATCGCATGTTCCATTCAGTGGATGATACAGTCGATTCCATCCCTCCGTGAAGTTCTCCATTTTCGTCCGGCTCGGTCCTGCAGCATGGTGGTTTTTGCTATATGGCTTTGCTGAAGTTCTTTGTTGATATGAAGGTCAATCGGCCAGTTGTGCAGTAAGTTAGCATAAACCATCTCCTCGGTTTCTCTTTATAAAGAAAAATAATAGAAACATTTCGGTAGGCGTTAAGCCAAGGCAGACATAATTCAATCAGATTTTGCATATAAAAGTTATTCGAATAAACTATCTTAAACAAGTCAACTTTTGTTCATTGCCATTGCCGGGTCAATCATGCACGTTTAGGCCTATGTCTTTTAAAGAAAAATGATGCCGACCACTGAGCATGACAGGCCTAGATCGCATGGAATTTGAACAGAATATCTCGCTAGCTACCACACAGGCCCGTCCCCTCAAACTCAGAGCGACATAATTCGCTTTGTCATTCCCATGTTCATATTCCTCCATGCCATGTTGTATAGGCCTCGTTAAAAAACAACTTACTTGCGAATAATAGTCCTATTCTTCAACGCTCCTTACTTCCCGACTCCAGCAATCTAATGCTGCGCACACCTTGACTATACTCCTCGTCGAGTTTGATCAATTTAGATCTCTGTTTCTTGTATTCTTTCAAAAATGACAAAGAAACCGAAGAAAACCCAACTTCATTTTTTAATCCTCCGTTCGAAAGTGTACACAACTCGAATGCGAAATTGCGTTCTTTACCCTTTTCAAAAAACGCGCGCGCGGACGCACGTTCGTACGCGATGTCCTATCCAGTCTGTGTATATGGAGATCAATGGCTGAAACAATCAAGATGAAGCAGTGTCCGAAATACTTGGCTGCGGCTGGAAATTACACACGCGCCTATGGAAGCGGCTGCGGCTACTTCCCATGGACCAGTGTGTTATATCAGCCGTAGCCATGTAATTCGGACAAAGCCTGACATGAACAAGTACAGTTTGCGTATTGGTGCATTTTGGGCGTGGCACCTAAGGGTGCCTATATACGAATAAGCTAATATAGTGCAGATGGGGTGTGTTTCTCTTCGGTTCAAACATTCATTTTCCCCATAGTAAAGCGTGAGCGGGGAATTTCTGAATTCATTTCAAGAGCTCTCAGTACGGGGGCGTTCACGAACGACAGGTTCGACTGTCATTTATCAGTACAGCGCCCTCATGCGACAATAAAACTTTCGGTCAAACGCGGTGCGGCGTTCGCTCGTACCCCCCGCCCTGCCTGCAAACAGGACGCTTGGAAGGGCTGATGAATTCATGCACTGATTGGATAGATTTTGCGTGAGCTGTGACCTGCAAGCCGTTACGGCCGCGGCCTTGCAAGGTTTCAAACGGCCGTTAAGACTGATTCATTACTCTTTTATTCCAATTAATAAATGCTTTTGTTTCGTTGAAAAGCATCATAATGTAGGAAAATCTGTAATTCATAGGCCTATCTGTGTTGTAAATTTGCGATTCCCGTCACTTGCTCAGGCTCCGTTTCTAATTCACGAAGGGTCACTGATTGCATTATGCGACGCTCAAACTTTGTCCACATTGTCCGCAATAAAAAAGAAATCACATCCGGTATGGCATGTACATGTGTTTCTATGGGAAGTTTTCGGATAGCGTAAGTGCGCGCATTGTCTAACTGCAGTCTTGAACAGCTGCAGTCAGATGCTTTATATATAGGTCATAGGTCACTTCCTTCACAAAATGCTGTGAAGCTCATCAGCTCTTCCCATTGCCCTGGTTGCAGGGCAGGGGGTAAGAGCAAAGGTGCGGCGTTTCAAGTAGAGTGAACACAGTAGACATTTTGGAAGGAGAAAGAACACTGGTCACGAATTTCCCGGGCTATAATAGAGAGCATTCATGCAAACGTATTTAAAGTTGTCATACTGATGTCAAGTTTTATGGTATAGAAACGTTGAATGAGCGTATTGAGATGTAGATTACATAAGGTGGTTGTAAAATAAAACAGTCATACTTTCCCCCAGCTGACTACAGCTAGGGTCAGCTGGATGCCAGTTGGACTTTTTTTCCCAGTCTTATAAATGAGACTGTTTTCAGAGTCTGTATCCCAATAATCTTACACTTAATAACAGTTTATCAACAAACAGACAAACAAGCAGTCACGACCAACACACCTCCCACATGAACTGATTATCCCTGTCGGTTGCCACCTCGTGAGGGCGCACTATCCGTCCCGTGTAGGGGCCCATCTCCGTGCCCTCCTTGATCCAGTCCGTGGAGAACACGCCGATGGCTGAGCCAGGCAGCGACGACGGGCAGAGGGAGACCTGGGGTGGCATGGGCATACCTGGCGGTAAAATAAAATAAAAATACACGGACTTTACATATACACAGTTCAAATTTCGCTGGCGATTTCCAACCTCGGTCCCGTGGTGTCGATCGCAGTACGCTTCCTTTTATCTGCTCTCTCAGTTGGAAACGAGTTTGAAAACCAAGAAAGCCTTGGTGACGAGGTTGGGTGACCTCTTATTTCTCATCCCGCGAGTTGGATACATTTTGTACAGCGATTGACCCGGGGTCAGCACTTCCGTGTGCGCATGATTTTGTGTGCGCACAAAATGAAGGTATATTGTTATGGTCAGTGGCCTACCAACAGTGCTTTGCGACACTTTCGTTTCCTTCACAGAGAGGAAGAAGATTAGCCTTCACCAGGGGGACAGGGTGTTTGGGATGAGCGAAAGTTTCGATTTGTAGATTGTTTAGGGCGAAAAAAGCCTCTTCTTTAAAGTTATAACGACGCTGTAAAAATGGTCTTGTGACACAACTCAGCCCAAAATACTGAAACGAATTTGACTGATGGTACAAAAACATAAAAACGCTAAAAACCAAAACTTGTAACAAAACAAAGTTGTTATCAAAGTAGTTTGTCGGTGTTTTTATGTATACGGCCTTGTATCACGAAAAAAAGTAGTCTGTTGTGTTTTTGTAAGTCTAATACAGACGAATCCCAAATTGACATTGAAACCTATGCTCTCAGTGCTAAGCCATTGTATGAATTGAGGATCTACTCCTCTCAACAATAGACAGCACTGAGGACTTCGGCTTCACTTGAAATTCCATGTATGAAGTCGTGGAACCAGAGCAGTATATAGACCTTATTCAAGAGGAAGCCATTTTCGATCGTGTTCCCCGAATCTGTTCTATAAATTGTAAACTGTTCAATGGGATGGTGCCAGACTATTTTATGATTGGAGTGCGTTCCAACCCTCACTTTGTTTTAAATGTGGCTTAAAGTATTAGGGTATGTTTAATCACTATTTTACATTATTCATCAGAGCAGACTGGTATTAAATTGTAACGAACTTTTATTTCATTGCTGGGATTTCTACTCGCATGTTCCAAAAATGAAGAGCTTTCAATTTAAAATACATCGACAACTTCAACAATTTGTCAAGCTCGTCTTCACACAGCCCAGCGCTAGGACGTCTTCACACATGAATTAACGATATTCCAGTAACCCACTGATTTCCAAACCAATTCCACGCCCACAAAGAAGAAAAGACGCAAAAAAATAACACGTAATATTGGCATAAGGCCTTAAACTAACTGTCAATTGAGAACGAAAGAAAGTTTCCATGGAATCATTTTGGGGGAATATTTTGTGCTTCAGTGACCACGGTCTCAGAAGAAAAGAAACGCAGCGAAAACAGCCGCGGGCTGCGCGTGTTACGAGACCAGCGGACGGAGCGGTGGCGAACAGAGGGGGGTACAAATCCACCGGTGGCCAGGGCTCTCGTAAGGCAGTGGATAGGTCACGGTAAAGGGGCTCCCCGTGTGCGGAATTCATGCGCGTTGTGTTGGGTGGATTATCAGTCTGGTGACGGTATAGTGGTAGGCACTCGTTATACTTGTGCCCTCCAGCATTAAAACCCTGGTTCTGACCGCAACAGAAGAGCGAGCCAAAAAAAAAGATGATTAATTCATTTTTAATTACGCGTGCACACTCGGCGAATATCACCCCTCGCGCAGGGGAAATGCCTCATTAGCATGCAGTGGCTCTTGGGGAGTTGGGTGGGCACGGGGGAACTCCTGTATCGTGTTATTTGTTCACAGTTTCTCGTTAAAATTCAAGTGGTCAGTTGGAAACGTGTGGTTTACTTTCGTGCCTGTTATCGTTGACACAATGAAACACACCATTCCGAAATGTTTGAAACAACGGGCGTTGCCTGGTCATAGTGATCTTAATCGGGATCCTGATTGTCAAAATCTGTTTTGATTATTGAAAGTTACAGAATAGTTATCTGCAGTATAAAGGGGTAGGCTAAGTGTCCCTAGTGCAATTATAGCAAATTTAGTTTTGATGAGTATAAGCGCAGTGAGGAGCAGCGAATTCGGGGAATACTTCCCATGAACCACACATCTGTCTCCCGATCTCTGCTGTCAAACCTCAACAGATTTTTGTTCTAGTGGAAGTTCATCAGTGAAAACGCAAACACTGAACTCACAGATGCACTGTACGGCTGACACTAAGAATCGGAAGCATTTGGTTGAAATGAGATAAGTCTACCAATCACCATGCATGGAATGATCGTGAACAGTAGGAGACAGGAATATGTTGATCTTGCTACGCTACAGATCCCCCCCACACATGCCTATATTCATCACGTCTCTGCATTTGCAGAGTTGACACGATGATGTCTAAGTAGGCCTACACCATGACAAAAGTTTAAGGCGATAAACCTTTATCATGCTACCACATTTCAGTCATTGTTACCTGTATCCAATAACAGTACTGAATGATAATGTTTTTGCGCAAAATGGAACCAGACTATTTTCCCTTCCAGCCTCGCTTTGGTTGCATTGATTTGAATGGGGAAAAAATCATGATGGCCGCAACATGATAATGGTCTGCAGTCAAGAAATCATTCGTCGCAAGGGGGCGCTTTTATGGCACCCCACCTTTTTGATAATTATCTCGGTAAAACGTTTTGGTACCATATTTGGGTTGATTCACCCCTATCTCAACGAACCCGTTTCTGCTCATGGCAATTCCATGATCAAAAACGGCTCCCAAATCACAGAAAGAAAGGAAAAGGATAATATTTCAGACGTCTGCGATATTAAGCAGGAGGTCCGTCGTGGGTTCGAGTCCCACCCGAGTGACTTTTTTCCCTCACAATCATAGAAATATAGAAATACGTCGGTGAAGGGAAAAACGTAATATTGAAAGGGATAAATACTCATTTCATTTCTCTTTCTCGCCATAATCATTGACCAAAAAAAATGTTTCTTTCTCCTCGATCGAGAGAAATTGTGCCAATCCAATTCCCCAAATGACCCCAGTGAAGTCACGAGTGACACTTTGGACTTCAAGAGCCCTGATCAAATCTAGCACGGTGCAAATCAATCACATATTGTCTGTTATTCACTGCATGCCAAATGGAGTAAAATATAACAATGATAATTAACCGTCTCTTTCCAAAATTGATCTGATCATCAATGTTTGTTTTGTGCAAACTTCTACTTTTGTCTCGACGGACTTTGTTGCCTTGTTGTTACTCCATATAGGGCGGTCAACAATAGAATCTAAAGTTATGAACTCTAGCCAATATGTGTCAATGAATTCGGGGGGGGGGGAGGCGCTATGGTAATGAACCATTCGTGTGATAAGTGAGTGAATTATTACAGAATTCTGGTCTGGTAAATTCTGTCCTTTTCTTCCAGGTACCCGTAACTTTAATGCGAATCGTTAACTTTAACACTCAAGCTACACTCCGTAGGAAAATATGCGGGTAGCTCAGCAATAATTAATCATATAATAGAGAATCATGAAAATACAATGAGAACAAATTACGAATTTCCGATAACATCTGTTTTTATTTTTAGTGTTATCAATAACTTTTTTTTAACGGCTGCAAGGATGCTGGCATATCCCTGGCCCCGGGCATTGCACACTGTGTTAAACACCATTCTTTAGATTTTGAGCACTTTTGTTGCTTCAAACGAAACCAAAAATGCACCAATGACAAATGTCTACTCTACCTTTAAATATAACACTTCAAGACCAAGACAAAAGTTACGCCTGAATTTCTTTTTGTCCAACAAAATTTAGAAAAACTGGAGACTATAAGAAATTTGTTCTGTCCACTGAAGTTGTATCCTTAACAAAAACTAACCACTGAACCAAACTCCGTACTTCTACCTAAACAATCACTGAGTGCAAACATGCAAACCAGGAAAGATGATACCATGATCCAACTTTAGAAGCTAAACGATTGCCACTTATCGCAGGTGAAGACAAGTTGATTCCCCAACGAAAACATCGGGATTGTGGCGTCTTTTGCTTAGGGGGATCCGTATTCTTTTATACCAAATGTTAATGGGGGTGAGCGCAATAACTGTGTTTTAGTCCACTCCGGAAAAAGTGACTGAATGTTCCGACCAATAAGTTTATCACAGTTAAAGATAAACCGTCCGTGTTCAACAGAGATACCCCCAAATATAATATATTGCTATTTCCAGCAATACAAAGTAGTTACTTTTTGAATGTGACATTAAGCATTTTTAAAGCAATTCTCCTTAAAACAAAAGTGGAAAATTAATTAGGAGATACAAATTCGAATTTGTCGAAGAGCAATGACAGTACATATTTAAATCCAAGGGGCACGGGAGCACGTATGGTGGACTAGCGGTACATGATGCGATTGTGTCTTGCCAGCGGGGACGAAGGCGCGAGAGACGGCCGGGCGAAAGAAGCGTTTAACCCCGTCCAGTCGTCAGGTTTCCTCGGACGAGCGCCCACGGGAAATTTGACCATCGTATAAAAACAAAAAGATGACGAAAGCTTGTATCGCTGAGAGATGGGTGAAGGTGACATGCAGGGTGTAGTTGGTGCTACCCCTGCTAATGTTAGCTTCCAGTCTACACAAAATTTTCCAGAAAAAATATGATTTACGGTATAATGATACTTTCAAAAAGAGGAAATGTTTGGATCGCTGTTCGCATTGAGAAAAGACTAATGTAAATGCGTCATGGCTTACTACGGGTCGACCTATAGAATGTACGCTCTTAGCCTAATACTGTTACGCACAACCTATTCTATTCTTCGTCGAACGGCAGTCTATCATTCTCGATCAAAGTGCACAGCATTTTAAAAAACAATTGATACGCAACTGTTTAGATCTGAAGCACATCGTGGTCACAGTTGTGTTTCTGCTGGTATACGTAATCAACATAAAGCATGTTCATTTATCTAGGTTAGTAAAGCAAGTGGTACTTCTCTATAATTATTAAAATGAAACATTTTTTTAGAAGGTAGGAGGTAAATTACTCACCTTCGGACGCAAG